CGTCTACAGGCAGTGGTGCCTGCCCGACGAAGCAGGCGATACCGGGCAATGGGCGGAGAGCCTGTCTGGGCCTCACACGACGCGGAGTCGGTAGAGTGGCCGGCTGCAGTATATTTTGCAGATTTAATGCGCAAGGCTTCTGAAAGCGGTCGAGGCTTCCATGTGTGGGCTTGCCAGCATGTGATGCTAGCGACAAGACGTGTCACAGATGAATCAGACCAGGTCTCTGATTTCGCATGTTTGGCGCCAGTGGGGACCTTTCGATGGAGTCGCCGGGCTTTGCGAGGCAGGATGACGGGCAGCCAGGGCATAGAAGCACCCCGGGTCCATTTTGGGGCTTCGGCAGACTGCCGTGTCTCTCACAGCCTCGAAGCAAAGTTCACAGCAGGGCGCCTCTGCAGCTGCCCTGGCACTGCTCTCTGGTGCCATGCAGCCGCCTCCACGGCTCCTGATTTCCATAGGCTGGGTCCCCCTCGCCGGTCTTCGAGAGAGGACAGTAGTGCAGAGCGGTTCCGTTTGCCAAGGGCGCTACTCGGACACTTGCCACGATTCTTGTGACTCACAATGCACAAGACTAGATGGAAACACGTGTTTTGAATGCACAGTCGGCGAGTCCTCTGACGGTTCAATCAATCGTCGAAACTCACAAAGCGAAAGCTGCACCAGACCCTTCAAGACCTCCAGCACTGCCCCAACGCGAAGCCATTCTGAAGTCCCCACAGGGCATGTTGCCACCATTTGTTTTACATCTCGCTGCAACAGGCGGTTATGCCGCCCCTGCTCAGCTTTGCGGCGACCGGTATCGGCAAACCGCAGGCACGATGCCTTTTTCAGGTCGTGTGAGGTTTTAGCCCTCCTGGTCACTTTGGCCCTCTTGCTGTGTCACCTGGTTTACTCGATGCTCGAACAGACCTGGGTGTCAGCAGCTCATGTGATGCTGAGCGGTTCCTGGAGGACCGTTCATAACTGTTTTCCAAGCAGCAACAGGGCTGGGATCCCTGGCATAGCAAGGGCAGGCAAAGACTCCAGGCTCGGGGCTAAGCGGCCGGTGGCTCAGCCGACGAAGGAGTGTGTTTAACACCTATGACTCCTATGACAAGGTCCTATGACATGAGATCTAGGAAGTCTCTGGCCAGTCAGCCAAAGCAAGGGTCCCAGTATGTACTAATTATGGAACAGTGCCCCGCTAAACGAAACAATGAGAATCGTCGCAAGGCGTTCCATCTTTTCACTTCGTTGGGAGGGAGGAGGACTGGGCTTGCCCTTCTTTTGTCTGTTGGTAGGCACAACGATAGGAAAGCGTTCAGGGCTGGCGACAGCCCGTCATGTGTAGTCAGATGCTGAATGGCCCTGACCGATGCGCTTTGTGTGAAACCGTGCCTCAAATGGCAGGGTCTATTCGAGGCATGTCCAAAAAACATCACGTACGATTTGAAGACTGCAGGAAAGTCCGGCACAGGCCTTTCCGGACCTTCCTTGCTGGGATGGTGCTTTGAAGGAAAGGATCGATATCGATGCATGGCAGCATTCGGTTGGGGTTGTGAGTGGGCCGGGGATTTTCAGGATCCAAGGGCTCAGTCTTGGCCCTGTCGGTCTCGAGGGATGTGACTCAGATTTCTGGAAGATCTAGGATAACTGCAGCTCAAGCTCAACTGACTGCAGCTGTCTCCAAGATGTTGCGTTCATCCACGCGTCTTCAGTACCTTTCCAAACATAAGAGGGCTGATCAGGCTGTTTCCCCAGCCAATCACTGCGTAAGTGAATGAACAGATCGTTTGTCCGTCCGTCTGTCTGTCTGTCCGTCGGTCGGTCTGTCCGTCGGTCGGTCTGTCCGTCCGTCCGTCTGTCCGTCTATATAGCAGTGAACCAACGAACCAACGAATCAACTAACCGATCAACCACCAGTGGTGGTGGTGGTGGTGGTGGTGGTGGTGGTGGTGGTAGTGGTGGTAGTATTAGTAGTAGTAGTAGTAGTAGTAGTAGCAGTAGTAGCAGTAGTAGTAGCAGCAGGAGCAGCAGCCGGAAGGAGGGAGGCATTTGTGTCCGTGCATAAACTACAAAGTGATGATTGTTCATGCATTCATCCATTCATTCATTCAGTCCTTGGTTGATTGGCTGACTGACGGGTGATTGACTGGCTGACTCACTGACCATCCTGCTCGACTACGCCGCAAGGATGGCAGCCACCGGCTTCCTGAGCTGCATGGTCCCGCTGCAGCGGCGCTGCGCCGATTCGTGGCGCTGGCTCAGGGGGAGGTGGACGGTGGACTGTGTTTGGCTTTGAGAGCTGTTGCTTTGAAAAAGTGTGATGCCAACCGACTTTGGGCATGCAGGGGCTACCCCAGTCTGGAGAATTTGAGAGCCAAAAACTGGATGTTGTCAAACCAGTTGCTTCTGAAACAAACACCCTCCTTCCCTCCAAAAATCATCCTCAGAATTGCTCTGTGGGTCATCCTCCATCCGAAAATCATGCTTTGGGCCATCCTGCTGCCGAGCCATGCTCCGAAAATCTGCCTCAGAATCCTCCGAATTATCCTCCTGCGCCAGCTTCTTACGAAAACCCTCCTGCCGTGCCACCCTCCCAAACTCATCCTCGAGACTACCTTCCCCCATCGGCGCCTCGCCTCTCTACAAAGTCCCAGCGCCCAAACATTTGCATGGCGAGCATGGGTCACGAGCCGCCGGCCACTGGCCGCACATGGCTTGATGTTGCTGAGGTGATTTGCGGGGGCCTTCGGGGCGGGATGATGTCGAGGGGAATTTGCGGGCTTCGGAGGGTGGGATGGCTTTCGGATATCGTTTTGATGACACCTTAGGAAGCCTATTTTGAGAGTGACTCTGGGACGGCTCTAATTCTAGGATGATGAAACGGATGAGTTGTTGAAGAAACATGTTTCGGGTGACTGGGCAGCAGAATCTGTTCACCCGAGCCCTGCCATAATCAGGCAGACCATGCAGACGGTCGGGAAGAGAGGCCACGTGCCTAAGCCGGGTAAGCCATGGGTCATTGATGAGGTCCGCTTGATGCTTGCCGAGGGGTTTAAGATGTTTCACAGCATGACGCCTTCGCGCGGCTTCAAGGGTAGTTCAGTCGGGTTGCCATGACCACGACCAGCTTCGCTGTCTGCATCGCTTTGCCTTCTTCCGTGGTGCTGGAGGGCTGAGCTCGACCCTCCGGAAGCGACCTTCATGGACGGCACTGCGCTGCTTTCCGTTCAGCTTTGCAAAAGCCCCAAGGTTTTGTTCAGGTTTGCTGATGCATGTCATGGAGTTTGCTGAGCACAGGGAGAGCGTCCGCTGCATTTTCCGCCGCATCGCGACGATTGTTGATCGTCGATGATACACGTAGCAGAGCGCATTAGAGCCGTGGGTTCTTCGTCAGCCTTCGGCTAACCCCTACCGACCCATGTTTGGGTGGGCAACCGGCGACTGCTCTCGACTGAATTTCCTGCAGGATCAGCGACGGCTGCAATCAGAAATTCTTCAAGCGATTGCTTCGTTCTTAGTTTCGACAGCAGCGGGCATGGCAGCAACTCTAGGTCCTACATGCCGATGTACCGTTGGACACTTCCCAAGATGTTGTAGGCCTTGCCAGATCTTTCTCTCGCACTTTTCGAGGCACGGGTGCGCCCAGCCTCTCGAACCCATCTACAGGCAGCAGCGAGCCGCCTTGAGTCCAGGATCGGTTTTGCTGCATTTCCGAACGTTAGAGGTTGGGAGCTTCAGACATGTACAGACTCTCACTGTGCAGCGGCGGGTACCACAGACCGACAGATTCCCGTCTGCAACAGTCAAACCGGGAGCGAACATATAACTGTATAACCTGAATCCTAGACAGACCATGCGCGAAGCCGCAAATTCTGCAGAGGGCAAGCACCCTTGCTTTCGGGAGTGTCGCTTGTTATCATCGCTTTTAGCAACTCCATCGCCTTGGCAAGGCCCCTCCTATAACAAAGACACAGTCGCTTCGCCACAGTCTCAGATAGTCCCATTGAGCATCCCCAACAGCGGAATGGCTGTCGTTGGGTTCACACTATATGCCACCAGAAAAGCTGACAGAGCTGCAGATGGGTTGCCCATGCCCGGTCGGCATTGAACACAAGATTTGATGGAACCAGGGTCGAATGCGTTTACTGTAACAGGCCTCGGAAAATGCATTTGGGTTTGTGCAAAGCTCCGGGAGCTCGATTTGGGCAGTTTATGGGCTGTTGTTGAATCAGGACACATTGAAGCATGTTCGGGTGTGGGGATGGCATTGAAAAGCTGAATTGTCGAATCTAGGGCCGAATGCGTTTAGCAGACCTTGGAAACTGCATTTGGGCTTGGCCCGAGCTCCGAGAACTGAATTTGAGCAGTTTCTGGGTGGCTGCATTCTCGGGTGTAGGGACATTGTTGAACACCAGATTTGTGGAAACTAGGGCTACATGTGGTTTAGCAGGCATTGGAAAATGCGGGTGGGCTTGGCCGCGGGCTTCGGGAGCTGAACATGCATTTTGGGCTTGGATTCTATGGGGGAGTGGGACGCTGTGAAACAACGAACAAGCTGCTCCACAACTCGCCCGGAACCCCGCTCGGAACGGCCCCGGAACCCGCCCCAGAACCTGCCCCAAACCTTGGCCCAACCTACCCCACACCTCGTTCTGGCTGAAGACCCCAGAGCTCTTGCTGTTGGGAAGCAATTGTCCCGTGAACATTTGCCACCATCAGATCACTCGTGAGGACACAGACAGCTGACGATGAGGAGCACCTGGGCTTGCAAGGATACTTCAAAGAGGCTAGGTTTGGGAAAGCGCATCCTCAGTACGGTTGTTTGCAACTCTTGACCTTTGGCCCAAAGCTTCTGCCATGACGAATTCATAGGACGAGAGACTGGAAGACTGCCAACAAGCCAATCAACCCCTAGCTTCCAGATCTGGCATACAACAGCGACAGCGACAGCATCGTGATGGTGGCGGTGGCACCTGTCGGATTAAGTAGTCGCAAGTCATTGGCCGCCCAACATGACACAGAGCAGTCGGCTTTCTGCTGTAATTGGTTGGCTGCTTTTGCAGACGACTTGCAGTGGTTATAGTGACGCACACTGTTGGCTTGGCGTGCCTGATGACATCAGGGAGCATTGCTGCAGGTTTGGAAATCGCAGCTGCTTCACGAGCGAGTTCACTTTTGAACGCTGCTGTCAGAGGTCGCAGGCAGAAATTCCGCCCAAGCCGAAGCCGACTGATGGCGCTCCATGCTTTCACGATGAATTCACCTTCGCCCGATGTTGCGAGTCTGCCGGTGACTTGAAAGTGTTCCTTGGTGATGGAGGATGCTTTGAACCGCATGGGAAATACACCTACTTGAAGTGCTGCTTTGAGCTGCCGGACTTGGAAGAGTGGATACATGTCAACGAGGTCAAGGGCTCCCCAACTTCCGACTACTTTCAGATCTTTGGCACTTTGTACATGACTGAGCCGGTCAAGCAGCGGTTTAGACAACGTGGCATTGCCATGCCTCCAGCTACCCTTGGTGGCGTCAGCCATGCTGACGTTCAAAGTCCATGCTTGAAAAGCGTCTTGTACGATTCCACGAACGCCCGATACCAGCTCATACCTATGTGGAGCGGCAAAGAGATCTTTCCTCCACCTCCGAAAGAAGTCACCATGCTGATAAAGTTCCCCACCCGGATGAAGGAAGCTGTTGCATGCTGGAGCGACACACAGTGCCAACTGCACATGGTCAAGCTTGACTGGTATTCCGTTGATCGACATTTCTTCCAGGGTGCCTATGCATCTCGCTGGGAATGTAGCTGGGTGGGTTGACCAAGAGCCAAAGCATTCTTGTTCAACGCGGCCACAAACCACAATTCTAGATTGCACTTCCCTAGACATAGACCTATCACAGACCCAACCTTGTGATCTAGAATCTACACTCCTCAAGCCCCCCAGATGGCTGTGCGGCTGCATTTAAGGTGCTGACACTCCCTTTTGGTTGTAACCTCGGAGAAGCGGCGGTGACGGTCATCCCCGTGCTGGCAGATTCTCGCATTTTTGGGCCGGCGATACTTGCAGGCGACAGTAGCTAGCTATAGGCTATAGTGGGCTCCCGCCGTGTGAAGTGTCTAGCATTCAAGTTCAGTAAATTGTCGCGATGCTACTTGTAAGAGCCATCGGTTGATGGACTTGGGCCAGGTGTCAGCTTGCAGCGGATCCGTTCAGAGGATCCATGCATCTCGCCACCTCGAACACACGGTGCTCTAGCCGCTCGGAAGGCAACACAAGCTGGCATAGTGGCTATAGTTGTTGTTGGACACTTCTTTCTCATCAACTTGATCTTGACACTAGACGGGACTTTTCGCAAGGCCATGTGTGGCATTGTTTGCGGCCTGTCTCTTGTCCCGTGGATGTACCACCGCTTCTGGTGGAGAAGCACATCGGGGGCATCGGCATCCGATAACGCGAGCGACGCGAGCCCCGCGAGCCCGAAGGTGGCTATTGACATCCTAAGGCTGCTGGCAACATGGGTGGTGGTTGACCAGCACAGAGGACAACCGTTTCCATTCAAATGGCCCCTCTGCTACATGACCGGTGCGGATACCGAAAGGTTGCAAGATGTGTTCATTGTCGTGACGGTGCGCTTGATATCTGTTCACAGCTTGTCTGTGCAGTCGTTTTCGATGAAGGTTTTGCGGAAAGTGGCAGTCCAAGCAAGCGTGCAAATAGCGTTCACACATCTGGCAAGCTTCTTCGTTCGTCCGGCATCCCTCCTTTACTGCGGGCAGAAACATCTCTTCGATGAGCAACCACGCATTGCTTATGCAGGTTGGTTGGAATGGATCTTGGCAGCTGTGACGATGCGAGACTTTGGCAACCCAGATAGTCGAGGTATTGAAATGCTGTGGCCGGTGTACCCGAATGATGATTTTCCAAACCAGACGTGGCCGACTTCGACGTGGTTTGTTTGCTTGGAATATTCGCTCTTTTGGCTTCTCGCAGCCGTGACTGCAATTGAAACTATGGTACCGCACCTAGTTCCAGCCGGCACACTCGCTTATTTAGCGTGGATGTTCATGGATCCAGGCCATCTGCCACAGGTATGTGGTCACCGCGACTATTATCGCTCGTTCTGGTACTGTCGTCTCCCCTCTGCCATGGTAGTCCACTGTGCCTGCCGTGCCCTTATGCAGTCCTGTGGGCCTTCAGGCTTTCTCCCACGCCTGTGCACGCCCTTCGTCATTGTTGCCATCGGAGTTGCCCTAGCACTGGACACGGCCATCGAGGGCCATCCCAGCTGGAAAGATTTCGGTTTCGGAGAAGATCACTGCAGGCGGCACTTGCCTTACATGGTTGCAGGCTTGCCCTTTCAATTCTTTCTGCTGGTGTTCACATTCCTCGACATCAAGCTACCCAAGGCAGCCGCTGTCTGGGTTTGCTACTTGGCCAACTTGAATTTCTGCGTGATGGCCTCTCATCTCTGGGTTATGATGTTCTTTGATAAGTATGCACCGGAATTTGTTTCTGCATGGGCACGCGTGAGAAACGATGCAGAGGGGCAGCCCTTCGCGATGCACCAGCTTTTCATCGTTTTCGTTGTGGCAGCAGTGTTGCATGGGTTTGTGGCTGAACCGGTGCAGCTGCTGGTCAAAGGACTGGCAAAGTATACATGGTTAGCTCTGACACTGGCTTTTGCGCATCCGTTACTTTGCCTGATGACCTGGCCGCGCAACCACAGCTACTATCCCTTGTTCGCTTATGGCGACAATCCTTCTGGTGTGGGCCCGCCCGTGCAGTAACCGTTGTCTCTGACTTTCGGTGTGAGAGATTCCTCGGAAGCACAACCCCAAGCTAGTGCAGCTGGAACAGGCGTCCGAAAACACAGTGCGACCATGTTGGTTTGACTGTCTGTGCTCAGCCAAAGCTGGGCATGAATTAAGAAATAACTAGGCACGAGTCCTGCAGCACTGCATGGGCTTAAGTTGGAAGGTACTGTGCACAGCTTCTTTCGACGTTTGTCTTGACGTCGAAAAGTCAGAAGGCAGCTTACCTCCACCCAAGAAGCTAAGAATGCAAGCCCAGCACCAACAGTCAAAGTCTGAACTTGCTGAAATCTTCGCAGCTTGAGCTGGGTACATGCAAGGACAATCCAGAAAGCAAGGGTTGGAAAAAGAGCAGCATTTTGTGCAGCAAGCGCTTCAATCGGCACCTGCACAAGAAGCGCTACACTATCTACATCGCCTTAAATCTGCTTTACGCACGTGTTACACTCTGACTCTGACTAGGATCCCTGTCAATCGTGCTGTATAAATGCTCTTTGATCGTCTGACCGATGCTTCATAGAAGCATATGCATGTTTTGCCACTTGTGCTGGTGGTGTGTTGTGGAATGATGTAGAACATGTCGGTGAAGGCCGCTGCTCGGTTGACAGTTTAGGTTATTCTCGGTTCCGGTTCTGAGGTCGGAGTGAGTTATCGCAGAATTTAACCAGTTCACTCGAAAACCAGTGTTGTTGCGATTGCCTCCATCTCCGTAACTGTATGAGGCTGTTGACCTCCCACCTTGCCGACTTGGGCGTTGCCTCCCTGGAGCGCATGGACAAAGTCTCGGGTTGCTTGAAGTTGCTTGTTTTGTTCTGGCCACAGGGTTTGTCAGGGTCGAGAATTTGGAGTGGAATGTTTGGTTTGGTCAATTGCAAGGTGCAGAAGCTGATGGTCTCAGAAGTTAAGGCTCTGCACATAGTGGCATAGTGAGCATAGCAGGTGCAGTGGTTTCCTTTCAGCGCCCCCGCACATGCCGGCCTCTACACTTGTCCGAAAGTTTGCAACACGATGCTGTTAGACTGTTAGACGCTTCGGCAAATTATTTGTCGCTGATGTCGCTGTGCTGAACTGCACAACGGCAACCTGGTTTGAGCACGCTGGCAGTTCAAAGGAATGTTTTCGGTCAAGTGGTCAGGGTGCCGGGCCTGCTGAACGGCCGAGTTTTCAGCCACTATGCTTTGAGGGACTAATTTTGCTCTGCTCGGTGGAGGAGTGGATGCTCCTTCGGCAGAGCTTGTTGCATTTGCTACCAGGCGGGCGCTCGGAGTGTGTAGTTCCTAGCACTGATCTCGTGGCTTAGCGGCCGTTGGCAGGCATTCCAATCCCACCAGAGCTGCTCTTCGATGCACCGTCCGTTGCAGAGCTGTCCTTGTCTCAGTGCTTGACACCAGTTGCCGTAGTTGTCCTCAGCATGAACGGTCGTCCCATAAGTGGCTGCTCAATGAGAACTCTTTTCGCGCCATGGCTCTACAGCATGAGACTTGGTGCAAGTCTCACGATGCGAGACCGCAGACAGGAGCCATACTGCAGATCCACGACTACGGAGTGTCCCTGTCTGCTTTGTAGAGCAGAATCCGATCGCTGCCATGGGAAACATTTGCTACACGACCGGCACAGATGGCAAAGGCACAGCCGGCATGCAAGCTCGTGCTGCCACATTAGTCGATGTATGCCGGGTACCGGGCAATGTCGCCCAGGAAGCGTTTGTTGAGAGAAAGTGCTTCCTGTTGCACGAAAATCACTCTACTACCACCCCCGACGTCTGCCAGAATCGAAGTCTCAAAAGTGCGCCTCAGGCTTCGAGTTCAGCTTTGCCAACATTCGGGCTATGCGCCGCAAGCGCGAGGAAGGGAGACTGAAAGTGTCAACTATGGAGGGTTTCAGCCAGCATCAATCAAAAGTGTTTTTGCGGTCCTCTTGGCTGTGCTTTCAAGACTTGTGTTTAGCACCTTGTTCGCTGCGAGAATAGTTGACCTCGTGGAGCCACATTCCATATCCAATTCAATTCCGCTTTGTAGTTTGAGTGCTACTTGGGCAGCTCGTTGAATCTCGGGACCAGCCACTCAGCCACCCAGACGATGCTAACCGATGCAAAGTCTTGGCCAGCATCGAAACTTGCACCTTTGTTGGGGGCCGTCCACGAGCGCTGGCCCTCGAAGGAGAAGGCCTTGCGCAGCGCGGGTTCCGAGCTGAGTGAGCCCTATACAATCGACTGGAGCAAAGCAAGGAGACGCTTTGGTTTTGAGTGCTCCGAGTCCTAAAGACTTTCTGTGTGCTTTCATGAAGATGGAGGAACTGGAAAGTAGGCCACATGGCTAAAGGCAGGGTTGCGGGGCTTCAGGCTACGGGTTCAAAGTTCAGAGCTTCGGGTCTCAATGAGGGTTTGGATTGTCGTGGCCGGGAGCCAAGCGCGAAACCCGTGCAGCCCCGGCCTGCAAGTAGTGGAGTTGCCAGTGTCGCTTCCTGGAAATCGTTTGAGCCAATGCACATTTTCGCTTGGCAATACTTAATAAGTAGCAACTAACATGCACAATTTTTGAAGCAACGAACTACGAGGTTAAGATTGTGGGTTTCACATCTGTGCTGACAAAACTTACTTAAAAGTATATGCATAACATATGTGCATGCATAATGATGTACGCATGTTACGTACGTATGTATGTATGTATGTATGTATGTATGTATGTGTGTATGGGTCTGTTGACAAGTTTCATAAGTGCGTGCGTCTGCATCTGTGAGCGCGTCCCGCAACCGGAATTCCGAATGCTCTTGGAAACAGCGCATACATGCTTACAACAGATTTAGTGGGCTCAGGCCGCTCAGCGATCATAAATGCGCTTTGGGGTTGAATTTTGCACTACCCATCTCGGATGTCCGAATGTAAACTCTCTGAACATGTTGTTGCAGAGTGGTGTTTATGTCGGCCCGCAGGCATGTTAAGAGGCTGAGAAATGGCGTGGTATAAGCACGGGTACGAGCCAGTGCAAATGAACATACAAATATACATACCAGTTCAGATAGATATATACATATACATATACATATACATATACATATACATATACATATACATACATACATACATACATACATACATACATACATACATAGAACATCTACTCACATGCAAACCCTGCCCTTCTTCAGGGTCGAGTTGCACATGCTCTGTGCTGCATTGGCTGGACAGGAGCACGAATTGGCAGTTTGAGGAGGTCAAGGGCCCAGGCCCACCGGCATGCTATGCCACACCAGAATCACTGTAAAGCTAAGCAGATTTACGGCGTTAGGCTTTCGAAACCTGGTTAGAAGGAAGGGAAAGGGTCGGAGGGTCATGAGGTCCTCGATTCGGAGTTCCCCTCACCATTCCGCAGCCGGTGTCATCTTTACCACATCAAAGCGGAAGGTTCCTTCTTCTACAAGTTCGCTCCTGTTATCGACAAGGTTCAAGGCCCGATCGAGGAAGGCCGGACGAAGCTGAGAGAGAGACCCTCAGAATTTGAGGGACTGATGCTCGGTTGCTCTTCAGAGAATCTCTGCCCCTCCGGGTGTCCTTCTTCTGTTAACAAGCGCGTTACATTGCAATACTTCAAGTCACGGTGTCAATGGGTGTAAAGGGCAAGCGCAACCAAGGATGTACCAGAGCAATATGGTGGAGTCTCGGCAGCAGTCTGGAGCACCCAAGAAACAACGCTTTTACAAGCATTGAGCCACAAAGCAAACAACTGTGAACAAGCTACGTACCGAGCCGGTTCTACAGTATGTCAAGTTGAGCTGCGGCGGTGCGCATCATCAGGCAGGTGTTGATTCGCTTCTATCTCAAATCTCCGGGTTGTCTTCACTGGTTGATGAAGACTTGCCCTGAAGGGGCAGCTCCAGTTTTGCAGTTTCCTGGTTTCAGTAAGCTGCTTCCTCTTTTGGAGCCGTGCTTGCAAGCTCTTTCCGCATGCTGCCTGATGCAGCATTATTTGTGACCACATGATGTGTGTACTGGTTGCTAAAGGATCCGAGCCGCGTTCAGTGGCGTTTCGTCGCACGGGTCAGGTGAGCATTCGCTTGGAATCCACTATGTCTTGTCACCATGGCGAGCTAATTGTTCTGCATTCTCGATCTCATACCATCCCATGTCACTCCGAGTCTCTTGTTAAGTCAAAATATTAGTGCATCCGGTTCAGAAGTTGTGTCCATGTGGTGTGTTCGCAGGTTTCGTGCAAGAATAAGTGCACTCCGACAACTGGAACAAGCATTTCTCCAGGTTGGCCAAGTTGGTTCAAGAGATTCGTGGCCCGTAGGAACGTGAATGTTTTGCGGACGGAATTGAATTGCTTGAGGTCGCCTGCAAAAGTTGTCGAGTCTTGTTTCTCAAGCCTGACCGTCCGTGAGACTCCGGAAAACAGCTAAGGATTGGCCCAAGGACCAGCAAAAATATGACCTCATAAAGCGCACAGAAAGTGGATACAGGTTCAAGCCGGGCACAGAGCCCAACTTCACTTTCGTGCAGGCAAAGTACATGGCCCTCAAGCCTCATTCAGAGATCGGCGAGTTTGAGCGTGATGCTTTCACTGACAAAATGCACTTCCGTGGCCAGCGCCTGGCAGCCGCATGCCACCCTGGGCGCGGGCAAGGTGTCTGCGATGTGCCGCACATCAAACTCATCGGTGAGATCCATCCCAATGATATCGTGCAGGGCTCTGTGGGAGACTGCTGGCTGCTCTCCGCCATCTCCGCGCTTTCCGAGTCGCTCGTCGCCGTTTATGAGCAGTGGCAAGCCGTGCGGCAGTTGCCATTCAGTTTCAGAGCCGGTGCGAGTGCTTGGAATGGAACCTTTGTTGTTCCGTCCATTTCTGCTGACATGATGAAAGCTCATCTGCTCGTCGCATTGCTTCCTGTCTTCAACGGCCAGCAATCGCAGGTTCGAGGGTGCAATCGCCAAGATCTTCCGAAAAACGAACCAGATCGACCGTCTGCCTCGTGACGCGCCCACCAAGTACACCGTCACACTCTACGATCTGAAGCCTGGCAAAGAGCACGAAGGTATTACTCTTCCGGTTGCTTCAGATTCTGACTGAGAGGAGAGCAGTGAAGCATGCTCGCCTTTGTCTCATGTACGGCAAGGATTTGGACCTCTGCAAGTCATAGCCACTTCAGCGATTGCTGTGTTACTATGACGGCCCATCGGTGCCAAGCGTAAGCCATGGTGTTCGCTTCTTAGGGCCTTAGGGATGGACCGCAGAGCTGCAGGTAACCAGAGTTTCGCTAGAGGGCTCCCGCACGGGGCAGAAGACACGATCTGGTCCAAGCATGATGCCGAGCCATTTAGCTCGCTGTTCACTTGCACATGAAATAGGAGTCGAAGGATGGGTCCTAGGCATCCCGAAAAGGCCATAGGCCTTCCGACCCAAGGAAGTCCTGGTCTCCGGTGGACATCGAGATCGACGAGCGCCTGTGCATGCTGCCGGACGGGAGTGACCTGTTAGGTGCCCGGATCGCGGGGGGTCGTGGCTGGGGGTCAAGCAAAGGTCAAAATATACCACCCGAGGAGAGCTGGCGAAGGATTGCAATGCAAGACTTAAGAGCAGGATCCGTCACGTCGATGTCAGCGTATCTGGAAGGGTTCTTTGGACCCTTTGGGGCAGACTCCGATGGCCCCGTAAGACTTGTCTTGTCGAGAGCTGCTGGCCGGCCTGCGGCCTCTTCAGACTCCAAGCTGTTTTGCAAGGGCAACTTCTCGTCCCTAGACTCCTAGACCATCCTAGACCCACACCTGGCTCGGAATCAGCTGGAGACGGAAGCAGAGGTGCGCATCCAAGCTACGACGCCGAGCTGTGGGCCTGTTACCTTGAGAAGGCCTGCTACCAGGGGCTGTCGAAAGTCACCGCATCTTCAAGGTGTTTAACCCAAAATGAGGATCTTTCCTACCTGCATCCTTACATTTTCAGGTCGGGAACAGCTTCCGAAGCTGCTGTTGCAGTCTTGCTCGATGATTCAGGGCTGTTCAAAGCCGCATCTTTCGTTGAGAAGATGTAGCACGCTGGATTACGGAAGCCTGAATTCCTGGGTGAGCGAGGAGATGCTAAACTCAGAGCGATTTCTGCAGGTTTGTGGCATTTGCTCTCTCTCCCTCTCTCTCTGTCTTTCTCGTGTCGCCCCATGGGCCCGCGTCTAGAAGTCTTGTCAGCTAGGTTTGAACTGTCGCACTGAAGCTTCGACCTAGCTACATGGGCCGGAGCATCGCAAAGGCAGTTGCCATCCACTGCGGTGGGTGGGACGAACTGGACGGAGGGCAATGCCCCCATGCTTGGCGCATCTTAACTGGTTGCAACGACCAGCAACTTGGCAAACCTATTGCACGTGTCGGTGATCATAGTGTTCTCTCCATCATTGCAAACCAGAGTGCCCCATGGCCGCGCAAGACCCGTCAAAGAGGCCACCTCATCGTAGATGCGCAAGGTGGTTAGAAGACTTGACTTTCTGAACAGAAAGTGGCTTGTGTGCAGTTCGCACAGGTATGTCTTCATGGATGATGGAGACGGGTTCGAATGCTACTCTGCTTTTGCAAGGAATCCACCAGCGGGTGATAAGCCTGAGTCATGTTTGTGCTGTTTTTCTATGGTCTTCCTGTCAGTGCCAAGGTTGGGGCAAGTTCAATCCCAACACAGAGACTTGGGAGCCCATGGAGAACTCAATCAAGAAGAGCTCCCAGACCATTTGGCGCATGGATTGGCCGGAGGTGGGAGGAGGAGGGGACAAGCGAACAAAGTGCGGTCACAACGAGATGCAGCTCATCAGCACAGGTGGTGCTTGGCAGGCTTTTCGGTGTGTCGGGGACACGTGAAGACACGTGAAGATTTGTTTAGATCTGTGAATCAGGTTTGAGCGCATGTGCGCCTGGGACGATCAGAACTACGTGATGGCAGCCGGTACTAAGCCGGGCTCTGACACTAACACCACAGATGGGATTGTGGATGGCCATGCCTATACGGTCATCACCTGCTTGAACGATGTGGCTGGTACCACTCATGATCTGATCAAGGTACCAGAAGTGAAAGTGAGTGCTGCAACCCTGCCTGGAGTCCCACTGCTAACCCATCACGCGATGCAGGTGCGCAATCCCTGGGGTCGGGGCGAGTTCACCTCTGGCGAGTGGTGCGATGACGGACCCGGATGGAAGAAGCATCCTGAGGCCAGATTCGGCGAACGACGGGGACTGCATCCCTTCCGCGCCCTCATGCTATCTCATGCTCCAGAAATTAACCTGCAACGAGGAAACCTTTCTACTGATCCGGTGGTTTCTGCTGTAGCGGTTTTGGCGTAATGCGAGGTCAAACAAGTGTGCAAGCCTGTGAATGCCAATGATGGCGTGTTCTGGGCTCCTCGGCCAAAAGTCCTGACAAATAGATTGTTGCGCGTGTTTTTTCCTGCAACTTTGTGGTTTTGTTCGCGTTTTTTGCAAGGTCAGCAAAGAAGAGTTCTTCAAGTATTTCAAGACCATCTACCTGTGTGCCACGGACATGAAGAAGTTTGTTGGATGATTGGGTGAGCAAGGGCTCGCCTGCAGTGTTTTGCCACAAAGCTGGAGAGGTTTTAATAATTGGTTGGCTGGAGAGAACTTCCGGCTTGCGCCCAGCGTGCACGAAAAGAGCGGCGTTTGGTGTGTTGGACTTCATCTACACATCAAGAAGTTTCTCTGAAGTGTTCGTACTGCTTCACCGATAGAGCCCCAGAGCTCAACTTTCCTTGTCCTCTTTCATTCTCTGTGCTCCACATCAACACTTCTTCACAGTTACCCGGTTACCCCGTGGGAAACCTTGAAGGGCCGAAGAACCCTTGAAACTCCAAGCCTTGCTGATGCCAAGCAAAAAATTCGGGTGCTGAGGTCCCAGCAGCTCCAGCGCCTCCGAACTCCCGTCGCCAGCGAGGCGTACCGGCTTAGGGCTTGGGGCGTCGGCGCAGGCCAGGTTGAGAGTAGTAGATCTGGAAATTGAAAGCTAAACGGCTTCTGATTTTCGTTTGCTCTTCACTAAGATGCAGGTGAGAGCTTTGCTGCTTTAGGCTATGTGAGTTGCCGGGGTTAGGATGAAGTCGTCACGTAGGACGTACAGACTTGGAAGGTGACTCGACCCATCATGTTCTGGAGGTAAGCATGGGAATCTTCTGGGGCAGCAGCTGTGTCCCGTCTGTGCGTGCTTCGTTCATGATATTCACGAGTTGAATCTGAATCTCTTCTTCCAAGCCACGCGTGCTGCGTAATGACAGTTCAGTCCCACCGGGAGGTTCTGCTTAGCCTCTGGACCCGACTTCGCCGTTCTCCATCCTTCTCCCAACCCCCAACGTCCAACTGCAACCTGAACTCAGCACTCTTCCGAGTTGAGGCGATTTTGGCTGGTGTGGCCTCTCAAAGTCCAGAGGTTCCCGCTTGGATCAGGTCGTGTACTTCAACTAAGACTAACGGGTTCGCATTATGGTGCAGTAAGCGTAGGATCAACACTCTTGTCTTGCGTGCGTGTCGCATGCTGTGGCTTGGATGTGCAGTACTACGACCAAGATTTCTGACTGAAGTAGTAATGATGGCCGAGACAACTGCAAGTACCAGGGCCCATGCCTGTCGATTCTATTGTTTTTAGGCAGGGCTTCCGGTCCAAGAGCAATTGGCGGGAGTTGTGGTGCAATCGAGGGGTAAACAGGTCCATCCAGGTGCACATGGTCACCATTCATACAATCGGTGATTTCGCTCTGCGCAGCAGACTTGACGCAAGTTGTGTTGTCAAGCACCTTGTCAAGCTTCTTTGCAAACATGTTGATTGTTGAAGCTGCAAAAAGCCAGTGGCAAGTAGTTTCTTTCCCAAATACCAGATGTGCATTTTGCTTGCGCCTTCGCTACGGTTGGTTGTCCTGTATTGTATTGCTTGATCTCGTCGGTGGTTTGAATTTCATCGCTCTCTCTGCCGTTGGCCAGTCCACACTGTTCACCCGCAGGTCACGTCATTGCCACAGAATCCACTGGTGAGGTCGGAATCTTAAATCTGCTGTTGTGCTCTGCTTCAGACCTAAAGTCATTGCAATCAGGCAGAGGCACAAGTAAGTAAGCCTGAGTACATGTCTCTCACACTAGGACCTCTTGTTAACACTAACAGTGCTAACAGCTTTTTCCCAAGTCGTGAAGGCCAGCTGGTGAAGCAGCTCCAGCCGAATATGGAAGGACAGGCAAAACAAGCGTTCTCTGAAAGCCAACAGAAACGGTGAACCTCTGTCCATCCCGTGGAAATACTGATAGGACGTCTGCAACAGTCCATCCGACTGCCGTTCTGCGTGGTGATGTAGAACTGGGCTAGAGCCTCGGAGTGCATACCGTTCATGCAGTGTGCTGCTGACGAACAACTCCCACAGGCAGTGCTGTGACTGTGGACTCTGTCAGAATTCCAGCCTATGTCATGGCGTCGTAGTCGCTGCCATAGCTGTTGCACATGCGCGCCTGCTGTATCATGATGGCAGCCGCGATGTGAACTCTTTGTTCAGAATGCCGCTGTCATCCGGTTTTGGGATGCAGGTGAGGGATGTGTCGTCGGAGAGCATGCCATCGTCAGCTTCTCAGCGGGATGTTCCGGAGGTATCGAGGGACTCCAGTCGCAGCTTCCAAGGTCGGCCCCAGAGTCCGTTTGGGCGCGCGCTGCCGCATTGCCGCCATGGCGATTGTTGAGGACCTGTCGGCCTTAGGATTCCTAGTTCGAAGAGAGGTTTAAGCATGGCACCCACTGCATGCGCAGCGCATGCCTCGCCTGAGGAAGATGTGACCCTTGATGAAGACTGCGAGGCGAGCCAATGCGAGCGAAGATCAGCGATGTATCTGTGAATGTGTGTTGCAGGTCGGTCCCCGGGGCCTCCTCCGGGGCCCGTTGGTGGCAGGAAAGCGAAACCGCTTCGACGAGGGATGCTTCATTGGCCCGTTGCCCAAAAGTGTTCTCTGCATGGTGTCGGGGATTGAATTTGGAGGTCCGGGTTAGGATTTGGCTCAGGATCCAGGCCTCTGAACGATGATGTGGGCTTCAGGCTGTGCATCTCCTTGACCAGGGTGCCGCAAATTCCGTATTCCTCCGGACCAGCACAAATACTGCAGTGAGCATATAGCAACAACATTCTGTTTTCGTACAAGCAACAAGCTCAGGTTGTCACAGCCCGCTTTCGGGGGCGCTCCCGAACGGCAGCTGCCTCAGTGTGTGGAAGCAGTTCAGCGGGCAGCACGATGACTTTCGATGGTGTGGCAAGTTGGCAAGCATCAGCATGACTCGTCATCTCGTCCGCGCTGCACTCACTACATCAGTCAGGACAACGTTTGCAAACCGTCATGTCGGCATGTAGTGCTTCTGGGCTCCAGCCCGGTGGCTGTGCACTGTGCACGATGTATCGGCACCGGCAGCACACACACACACACACACACACTGAAGGACCAGACTGTGGATCCTTGCCAGGCCACATCAGCATCGGCGACGACTGTTTGTTCGAGATTGGTTCCATTGTGCGGGCCCTGTTTCTGAGTTCGGTCTGCAAGCACATCACGTGGCAAGAACTGCAGAAGCGAAGTATGCCTGCTGGGGCATGATCGAAAGCTACCGTGCCGCCTGCGGCTCGCTCCACAAAGCTGCACGGCCAAGCCGTGCACAGGACTAGAACGAACATGTACATGCCGGTATTCTGAAAGAATCGTACAGCCTTCAGAAAGAGGATCCAGAATCTAGACCACCTCCGGTTCAGAATCGCGTATGTCAGTCTCTCCATGCTCTTTGCCTATCCTCAGAGCCGCAACAACTCCCTGCATCCTACATTCCTAAAGAGACCCGAACCCCACGTCAAGGCAGCATGCCTTCAATGCAGACAGTTTAAGTTGTATGCTGCCAGTGCCCCTTGCAAAACACGAATGTTCCCTCCTGAGCCAGCTGCACTCTACAGAGCTCGAACTTCCCCGCTTTGTTCGCTGCTGGTCCAGGGCTTGCTGCCCTCGCTATGGACGTTCGGCCCAACTTGGTGGCCAGCAGCAGCGGAAGCAGCATCCTTGCAGCTAGTCTGACCCTGTCAAGCGATGACGGGGCACGATTATCGGCGTCCTCCAGAGAACCTCGGCCGGGAGACGCTGGGGTGGAGGGTCGGGGTTGCACAGGCTCAGCCACGAAGCATTCTTGAATTAGTTGAGGCACTGAACAGCTCCAAAGGACTTGTGATCTGGATTTGTTTGGAAAAGCATCAAAATCTGTGGCCATGCTTGGCTGTACTGGGGCATCAGGATGGACACGAATAGAGATTCGGAAGGCTCGAAACTTGACGTGGGCCACTCGCCGAGAGCATGTTCTCTGCTAAGGAGCTCCAGCTGCCACGTGCCAACTTCTCTCAGGACTGGCCTCCACCGTTCGCTCCCCTGAAACACTGACATAGATGGCGGCACTTGCCGGTTCCGCTACGTGCATGTTCGGAGGGGCGTGGGGAGCCAATGCCAAGCAAGCGGACAAGAGATGACAAGAGTGCCCAAAGTACATTCACGGTTGGCATGCACCACAAAGTCACACACACACACACACACACACACCCCTTGCAACCTCATGAGCCGCTTAGAGCCTTTGACGGTGCAGGATCTCGGGACCTCTAGCCAGGTATCAGCAATGAGCCGATGCGAAACGGACCCGGAGTTGCTGGGTTGCAGAAGAGAGGGGCTGTCAAGAGGACAATATTGCTAGAAGCTACTGGTATCTAGGGGGAGCTCCGGGCTGAAAGCGCCGAGCCTTTTCCAAGCATCAGGGCAGCTCTTCTTTGTGGCGTTTCCCAGGCTGATGAAGATGGGCCGGGCCATGACCATCAAAGTCGCTGCGGCCGAGTCCGATCCATCAACCCCGCTTGCTGGAGCCATGAACACTCAACCTCAAGGGAATTCGGGATCGCTCTGGGTTCATGTCAAAGGGCCTTAGGAGCGTTGGTTCGCTTCCAGCGTCACATAGGTTCTACCGCCCAAGAGCGAGCTCATGCTACTGGTAGAATCATTCTCCAACCTTGGAGCCGGGAACGTCTCCAGCTTGCAAGAGCCGAATCCTGGCTCCACGCCTGGGCAGCTTGCGGTAGCTTATGCTAGTCACCGCTAGTCGCTAGAGGCTTGGAGTCTGACGAAATGCCACAGACACTGCGAAGTGCTAGCTGCCCTGTGCCCGAAATCCTGACACGTCCTTCAGAAAGCTCAAGGAGTCGATTGCCTCGACGAGGAGGAGGAAGCTGCTTCAAGATGGGAAAAAGAGGTACCACTTGCCATGTTGCAGCCGATCGCCACTCGGCACAGACCTACCAATGCTGCAATCTCATCCTGAACAGGTGAGGCTGCCCGGGAGACCTCTGAGCCATGATGGTTTGTTGTTTGCTGGCGAGGCTCGGCAGCACGGCAGCCGGTAGCGGTTGAGTCAAAGTAGCCTGAAGCCATTATATCAGTTCCTCTACCCCAAACACACGACTAGCTGAAATCTTACCTGGCTTCTTGGGCACTGCCTCATGTCTGTACGACGTTCAGGCATAGGCTCAACAAGCTTGGAGATCTCCCTGCAATCGCTGACTGCAATGCTGTGACGTGATAGTGAAGTTCAGGGTGTGAAGGCTCGAATGGTTTCTGTGAGCCGAAAGCCTCCGACAGCCAAAGGTCGGAATGTCAAGGCCAGCAAAATTCAAAGGGGTCAGGCGGCTCGAGTTGCGAACGAAACATACAATATCAGTCTTTGGAACATGAACCTTGTGGCCTTTCCTGAGTTACATGTGGTGACTCCACGCCACCGTACAGAATCCCGCATCTTCCGCGGGCACTGACAGTGACTTGATGTTGCACTGACAAGGATTCGCCCGTGAACCAGCCCGCGACGCTGAGTCCCGCCGCAGATTCTGCCGCTTCTGCCATGTCGCCGGGTTCCGATCGAGGCCAGGGCTGAGAGAACTCGGAGTTTCCACGCACGAATCGTCGACCGATGTTGGTAGTTCAAGGTCACGATGTGAAGCTCATGCTTGGCCGGCAAGCAAGTTGCGCATGCACTGTGAGTCGCACCCTGGCTCCGGCCGGCCCGGAGGCATCGCTCAGATCATGAAAATGAAGTCCATTCGCTCCGTGAGCTCCCGGCGCTCGGTGGGCTCCCGACGCTACTCGGCCAGGAATTCGAGTTTGAGGCTTTTGAGATGCTGTAGAGCTATGTTTCTTTCGTTGGCTTCTGAAGTTTTGGCTTGGGGTGTCTGGCCTGTGTCCCAAGTCCAAGCCCATCCGCAGGGTTTCCACTGATTAGAGCAGGCTTGCAGGCCGGAGGAAGATCCTAGATATGTGGGGCGGATCCATGTTTCCTGCTGGGCCTGAGGGCATCCTTCCCGGACGGCGAAAAGCATGGGTGACCTTTCTGTCGTCACACCGAGGCATTGTGGGGATTTTAGCCATGCTCATACCTGCAGCCTTCCACTCTCCTGACATGTCGTCTTGCACGGCCCATGCAGGCACACCGGCAAAAGCGCAAAGAACTTTCGCCGGGGTCGGAAAAGGGTGATGGTCGCCGGCATGAACGCAAAGAAGCAGCCCGGCTACGACATCATCGAGTCTGGGGGAGTCTGGGGAGCGCAGCAGCTTCAGATGTAGACAGTACATGGGAATGTAGGAGTGCTGCACATCTCACGAGCTTCTCAGACATCAGTAGCAGCTCAGTAGCACAGCCATTCCACAGTCAGCGACGCTTTTTGAACCAGGCCACTGGAGAATCCGGCCGATCGGCCTTCTCCGGAGACACTGCTAGCTTTCCTTCGTCCGGAACTGAGAACGACAATTAAAATAGATCATATGCAGAACCGTGGCGCCAAATGCACACCTGATTAAAATTCTGTGGATGGGCAAAATCGTGCGGCATGTTCAGTTGCGAACCCCTTTAATTTCAGTGTTTTACGAGACGTATGGGTCATGCAGGAATTCGGCCAATCAGACACAAAAGTTGCTGCCGGCAGAAAGATAGACAGCAGAAGAAAACCGAGGCAGCGTTTATAGCCCATCAGCAGACGTGCAGCATCAGCGCTAGCCTTTTCGCTGTTTCAGGTGGCTTCGGCCCTGGTCCGGAGGGCAAAGACATCGAAGACATCTTGGCTTGGACGTTAGACGACTGGGAGAGTCGTAGCCCCAGACCTGCAAGTCACATACCACCAACATTCACCAACATCACAGAGACGGTGCCTCGTTCCGTTAATAGCCCATTCCGGCTAGTCATCTTCGGCACCCGTACTTTCCAAGCTCGTAGCCTGCAACGCCCTGCAAAATGCCGACAAGCAAAGTCTGAAACGAGCTGTGCCTTTCCCTTCAAGTTGCCAGATCGGCACAACTACATCCAGTGGCTCTTCCCCACGGATGAGGAAAGTGATGCTTTGCTGCATCTAGATGCCGTGCCAACCGTCGGAGCTTTTACTTTTTGCTGCATTTTTTGACACAGTGGTTCGATGATCAGCCATAGCCTCATGTTTGGGCAGCTCCGGGCACAGACGTTGATCGAACAAGATGCCGAAGTCTGGTTCAGGGTGCCCGAGGTTCTTCCGAGCTCGAGCGTACGCACTAAGTCCTCCGCCCAGACCCGAGGAGTACCACCCTGAAGCTCCGGTGCTGACACCGGAGATTCAGGAGCAGATGCTGGTCGATTCGGCAGTTTCTCCGTCAGCAGTTCTGCTTGAGATGCATGTTCGTGTTTTGAGGCTGATCTGATGGCTTAGGCTCTTTAGGGTTTTTGAGATCCAGAAGCCTTGGAGTTCGCTTTGCTCGGAGGTTGAAGACAGTTTGATCCGGTCCTTCGAGAAGTTCATGCCGCTTCGGCCAAACAGGATGTACCTCAGGCCAGGATACTCCATGCACCGAGGCAGTTCCTGGGCCTGCAGATCACCTACCTGGACGAGGCGTTCAAAAGGGGTCCGTTTGTCGCCAGATTGTATGCAGGCTTATTGGGGTTCGGCCCTACCTACTTGGAGCTCCGTATTCATGCTCTTGCACTGTCAAGTCGCACTCACGCCTCTGCACAGGAGCCGCAGGAGGTGGCCGTAGCGGCAGTGAACTCTCTGAGCACGCTGAGCGGCGCAAGCGAGGTGAGCCCTCAAACCCCAAGCGCGACTGGACTCCAATAGCACCGTCAATATCGAAGAACCAGTGTAAGGAGTTGCTTTCGAGTAGCATGGATTTCTGGGTTGGGTTCTATGGAGACTGGAGGGCTTTTTTCATCCTGTAATTACATATCAGATTGATGACACGAGTTGCCAAGAATCCTAACTAACCCTTGATGTTGGGGACTAGCCGTTTCGAACCGTAAATCGCCCGGGCAGAGGAAGGCTGCATATTCTTCGCGAATTATGCAGGAGGTGTGAAGTAGAGTCGACTGGTCCACTGGCTCGGAGGAGAATGCCTCAACGTCGGGGCGAATGTTTGTTCGAAGGTGGGTGGTGCAGTGGTCCGCGACTTCTGTACACACAGAAATTGGCATGAAATTGGTTGTTGGACCAGTTCACAGCGAGGCTCAATGTGCAGGATGATGATCCCTAGCAATCCGTAGATCTCAATGTGTTGAACAACCCTGAAAGAGGGATCTCATTGCAATCAGATGCAATCGGCCCAGGATGTACCGGCACGCAAAGTGGCAGTGACTGTGCGGAAGGCATCGAGTTTTCGCTCAAGGCGAATCGATTGCTGGGAGCCTGAGCTGCACAACAGAGTTCCTACAGGGAGGACCTGGTCATGTGCACTTGGACTTGCGGTATCGAAGTACAGACAAGTTTCTCCCGTCGATCATCCAAACTCCGGAATGCTGGGGGGCAGCTACACGTAGGGTAATCAAACGATTGAGAGCACCTTGCACATCCGGTTGCGTTGCCATTGGAGCCAAGCTTGCAAGCGGCGTGGCCATGAGAGTTATTGGTAGGCGGGAATGTAGGCGGGAGAGAAACAAGTTTCATGCCGGGAGGCTTGGGGCTTGGGGTGACACACCGTCGCATCCGAACATGCGAGCATCGGCATGGGTGGAAAGAAGATGCTAAGATACACCATCAGCGACGACGAGAGAGAGTGAGAGCAGACCGAGTGAGCGTAGGCCCTTCAGAAAGCAATCATGAAAGAATAGTTGGTGCAGCATGGTTCCTCTGCTTCCGGTTCGAGCAGCCGAGGTCGTGAACTGCCCTGAGGGCAATCACAATTGGTTTCGAATATCTCGAGTCTTAATCAGCTTGAGACTTTTGGGGCTGCTCGATGAGGCGCAAGTCTCCGTGCTCGAGAGTGTAGGAGCGGCATGCAGGCAACCTTATGCGGCAACCTTCGACAGATTGCAGCACTGTTGTTGAGACTTTCCGTAGAATCGTAGAGCTTATAGAAACAGAACTTCTCGAAGACCCTGGCTTCGTGCTTGGAGGCAGAGGCTTTCTACCTATGCCTCGAACAGCTGTGGGCTGACGGCGACCTCCCTGGTTTCGCGGTCCACTCCATGCAGCTTGCAGTTGAGCTTACATCGGTTCAATCCAGACGTAGATGCATGGATGCTCATGTCTTCAGTACACATGCCCTTGTGGTCGGCGGACGGACGCGGTAGCAACGAGTCAGGAAGGTCTGTTTCTTTAGAGTCCGGATGCACTTTTGGCACATTGAATCATCCCTCAATGACTCAAGCCTGAGCATTGCTCCTGAGGCGAATATGGCGCGAGTGCGCTGGCTTAGAGAGCCGACCCCTGCCCAAGCGGCGCAAGCGCAAGCGGGGACCCTGCGCGTGCATTATTTCTTAAAGCTTGAAAATTGGGGCCTTTGCTCCACAGACATGACGAAGCCACGAAGCATCCAGTCTTAACAGGATAGCGTGCAAAGGCTTCAACACCCGTGGTGGTCGTGGGCCCTGAGGATGCCGGCAAAACCTTAAAACCACACCACGCCAACTTTGCGGCATCCTCGAGCTTGCATTCCATGGGCCTGATCTGCCCAAGGCAGAAGATGGCAGAAGGAGACAAACAAGAGTAGAGCAGCTTCATCAGCAGCCAGCATAAGTTTCTGGTAGAAGTTTCTGAGTCGTGGCCGACACTTCACACCGGTGTTGGAAATCCCGATGCGGTTCAGCCGTAAGTCTACAGACTCTTTGCAGTCGGAAGGTCCAGCAGAAGGATTCCAAGGTACACTAAACCTGTTGCCTGTTTGGGAAGACGAGAAACCCTGGCCGTGGCCCGGCAACATGGATGAAAAAGGCGCCGACTGCGCGAGAAAGAGAATCTAAGACTTTCGATCAAGGTATGTCATGAATTCTCTTACTGCTGCGAGCCGGGTGAAACGGGACCAATACAGCTACGTCACGTATGAAATATGGGTCCCGATCCAAGACGAGTTCAGAGGGGGATCTGGCTCAACATCGCGCGAGACGCTGCAAGAAGAAATCATTTGCAGGGACCTTAAGAAGTTCCCGGACCCGCAGAGGTATTTAGCCTCTCGGAGGAGCAGGGGCCCAAAGCTCTGCATGGCCTTTTGGTGGCTGCGCAAAGCGGCGTAGGCCCTCCAAGCAGTGCCTCCTGCTCATCTCCAAGCAGCACTGTACAGGACAAGCGAGCTGAAGACCGAGAGCTGGCCAAAGGATTTAAAAGTGGCGGCGGGGGGGAAGCTCTCTCAGTCGCAGTCATCATCCAGGATACATGATCCAGCACAGTCGCTTGCAGCGTGGAGGATGGTCTGTATGCTAACCTTGGAGATTGGAGCTTGCCGTGGGCTTGATAGGATTACGTGCGACGATACAAGTGTACAAGACGGTACCTAAGCAGCCTAAGCAGATGAAGACTGCATAGGCGCTTTTTCGCTGTTTTCAAAGTCTACAAATACTTCCAGAAGACCGTACAAAATACTAATCTGTCCGTCTGTCGTGCATGTACGTAGCCTGTATGCCGCCTGCAGTACGAAAGAGAGAGAGAGTGTGTGTGTGTGTGTCGTGCCTGCTTTGCTTGCAGCACCAAAGCAAGCAGAATTTCCCAATGCGAGCACTGTTAAACGAGCGCCAGCGAGTCTCCAGGTGCTTGCGCCAAGAGGTCTCAACGGCAAGCCAGGGGCACCGAGCTCAGAGGACTCACTGGCGTCTCAGAATGCTGATGATAGTGAAGTTCAACCGGATGCATACTTCAATTGGGATCGTGTCTGGAAAGCCTGCTTAATTACGTAGATGTAGGTGCATTCTCGTATTGGCTTGTCCCTCCTTCTGGGCGTGGCTCAGTTACTCTTGCAACTCGCCTACTCTTCCGACCACCTCGCCATACAGATCTCAACAGTGACTCCTGTCCGCGCTCGAGGTGACCCACATCGGGAACGGTGCTGGGCCCTGAGCACTTTCGTCGTTCCGCCTCGGAGCCTGTGGTGACGTGTGGTGCCTTCTGCTTCGTGTGCAAATGGTTCGAGCTCGCAAGTGTGCACGACCTCTGAAAGCAAGTTGAGACGTTTCTGCTGATGCTTTGCTTTCAGCATGCTCATGTCTTTCAATGTAGGTGCGCATGGCTCTCGCCACGAGACTCCTCGGCCCAACGTTGCCTCTTTCGTTTGCGGTCAGGTTATGGTCCAATTGAAGGCTGAAGTCTCCCACGATTGTGCCTGGACCTTACACTGTGATTTTCAGCCCTGGTCAAATTGCTGGATCTTCCGCTGTTTAGGATTCCAGCAATAACATGCAAGAATGTTAGTGCAGTTCAGTTCGTTCTGCTGCCGTATGCGATGTCATGCTGGCCTCCATGAGGCCTCATCTTTGGATATCTATTGAGAAGGTAAGAAGAACCATCTTGGCAGAACTTCCAAGTTGGATTAACCCACGGAAGGCGCAAGATTCACCGGCGCAGCAAGAGCTTCCGACATCTCACGTCAAACAAGACAAGACGGTTCGTAAGACAAGCGGGCCTGTGCACCAGAAGGTTCTGGAAGACGGAGTCTTTCTGAATGGAGAGCTGGCTGGATACTGCCATCTCATGGCGAATGCCAAGGCGCACCTATTCCTCTTCCACCATCGTATCAATGGAAAGTTTCGGCCAGTTGTGCATGCATCCTGGGCCTTTGCTTGGCATATGGCTGAGTACTGCATGGCCCCGTCGTTCTTCTACGACACAGGCTTCACATGCTAGCTAGCAAGAACATCTCATGTGATACCAGAACACATGTCATTTGGTGCAGTGAACGGCTTCTTCTGGCTTTGTTCTGCACACTCGAAGGCAGGAGGTCTTTGGGCTTCATTGGCTTAAGACACTGCATGCGTCATTCGTAGCTCGATCCTTCGTCTCTTCAAGTGTGTTCCCCACCAGCAGGTGGCCAAAGGCGCAATCCTCCACCAGTTTACTACGGTTGGTACCAGCTCTTTTTGCACCATGATGACGAAGGCCGGGTCGATAGGAGCAGTCTCGCGTAAGCCTTGTGGCTGATGGGACACCCGTCCCGGTTGAGTGAATTAGGATTGCAGCCTTGGCTTCAGAAAGCTGGAGCAGGACAACCCAATGCAATCGAGCCAGAATACGCATCAGAGCTACCCGCAGAGGTGCGTCACGATGTTCTGCCTTTCTGCGTGATGGACGATGTCCTGCTGGTGGATCGAGTGCGGGGCCATGTCAGCACACAAGCCCTGGTCACCCTTGTCAGGCCTGCGCGGAGTAATGCGGAGTAGTTTCTGCCAGCCGTGGACCTTCTTAACGCAAGTCTGTCGATCATGATGCCGAGAAAACTGAATCTTGCAGAAAAATACTTCTAGTTGATGGAAACGTTGATGCGCTCATCCTGGGATTTGCATGCAAGGATTTCGTCCTCCACAAAACTGTTCAGTCGCTGAACCACCATGCCGGTCAATGTCTGAAGCCTTGGAACTCCAACTTTCGGGCAAACATGGTTGCGACTGCGAACTCGAGCCTTGCAGGCGTCGCGTGGACCCACCCACGCCCTCAACGGGCTCCCGGTGTCGGCGCTTCAAGCTTACCAACTCCCGTTCAACCTTCAAACTCTTGGCTCAATCGTTCTCGCCTGCATTTTTGAAACCGAAGAACTTGCAATTTCAATTTCCACACTCGCGCAGTCAAGTGTGATGTTGATTCTTTCGATGGGTTGCATTGGAAAACATGCTTGTCTCACCTGTCTAAGCTAGAAGGCTGCAGCTTGCGGCAGCAGTCACCAGCCAAAGTCGAGGCTGCACTTGGCATGCTGGACTCAGCCTGCCGAGGTAGCCTTGAGTCGGCAAAGCAAGTCCGAAAAGGAGCTGCTCTGCGTTCGCGTTGAGAAGACTCATTGATTCTCGAATTTGTGGCTTTGAGGCGGACGGATAGAGAGACTGCTGAGTGTGGAGCGAGTGTGAGAGAAAGGATTCGAATCAGAAAGTCTTCGAGGTTTTTGCAAATACCGGGCTGTGCTGAGCACGGGCTTTTTGAGCATGCCGTGCCGAGAACCTAGCTGCGCAAAACGTGGAGAGGATTGTGGGCTTAGTTCAGCACCTTATTAGTATTAGCTATTCTGGCCTGCTTGTTTGCTGGCCACACACGTTCCGTTGACTCTGCATTCACCGTATGCGTTTACTGTACAAAGTCCTGTCAGAAGTAGTAACGACAGAGGCACGAAACAACTTTAAAGTATGTTGATAGCATCCTGCAGTAGGATGAGCACATCATGTGCAGCAGGCGGTCTTGTTATGTAATGTCGTGGTTCGCCATCGTCCAGAGCACATGGAACCCCAAGCTTGGTTGTGTGAAACTTTGCAGCAGGAGGCAGAAGAGTTGGATCAGTTCTACTCCCGCCAGTTTTCATCAGAGGCCATATTACTTGGATCGGCGTACGGTGTTTTTGCAGGCGCTGTTTCATACATGTTCATGGTGACTTGGTGGCTACCTCAAGTCGCCGCGGCCGGCACCATGCAGCTATGGAGCACTGCCGTAGAGTCAATCTGCCGCTTCAACGCAAACACTCTGATTATCCGGCGATTGGTGCTGTCGTTCGACTGTGACGTGTGTTTGCCTTTGACCCTGGCCCCCGCCCTCACCGTGTTCTGCAGCAGGCTACACCATACGTCCGGTCCCTGGCCACAAAGCTGCAAGAAGTGCTTGTTTGCTGCAAAGTGTTCCCTTGGCCAGCCGACAAGACCTGCATCTACCAGCAGAAGAGGGTTCCTAACTGTTCCTAACTGTTCTGGCTTTTAAGCAGGACGGCATACTGCCGGAAGACACAGAAGGCCTGGTCAGGGTCGGAGCGTGCAGGAAGCAGTCCTCCACCCCCCGCAAGATCCCCCAAGCTTACCTGTTGGCTAGCGGCACTTCCGCAGATCCCTGTTGAAAATTGATGGGGCCCGAAGTTTTTCGCACGGGCTTTATGACTTTGCCGTCATCTGAATCATATGGCAGCCTGCCGCATTTCACGTGCCACTCGGTGTGTGCTGTGAGGCCTTCAAAGAAGCTTCCAACTTCAAGCATGCAGCAGTAGCATCCAGTAGCATCCAGTATCCAAAACGCTATGCCAAAGACCGTTTGAAGGACCTTGGTTCAGCAGCGAGTTGCGGCGATTCTTCCAGATACGGTCACAGATGCCGCTTGAATGCCTGACAGCAGTGCAGTGGGTCCATGTGGGTCTGGGGTTTAAGGCTTCCGGCCGGGTGCAGTTACATTCGTTCTTGGGGCGTTGCCGCATGCAGGAGGTACACACTTGCAAGGCGGCATGAACCCTTCATTCATCAGCCGCTCAGCCGCCATCTCTGTTCGCACCGGTCCAGCAAATTCAGAGCTCCACCAAGGCGAGACCGCCGGCCCTTGGCCCGCTATGGCGCCGCCGTGGCAAGTCAGCTGCGCAAAGATGAGCCCACGTGAGCTGCATTTCGGGAAACATATTCTGTGACAGATCAGCGCTGTTGTTTGTTCTTCACTTTTGATGTCTAGCCGGGTAAGCGCTTAGGTTGCCAGGCAAAAGTATGATCATACGGCCAGCTAGATACCCTCCGAATTCGGAACAAGCTCCAAACGAGTCTGGTCCAAATGGTGCCAGTGAGATTTTCCTTGTAGAGCCGTGGCAAAGGCCCACGCAGTAGGTCAGTCACCAGGCAGCGTGTCTGCGCAAGAATGTTTGCTTGCTTGTAGTGTCCTAACCCAGTCCGTACACTCTTGTCGTGGGAGTCGCTGGCTCTCTTGTCGTCCGGTTATGCAACCACTTTGCTTGGCCTTGCGGAACTGCAGGGCCTTCTGCAGCCGCATGTCCATATATATATATATATATATCCATGCAGTTGATGCAGTCTGCCGACAGTGGTACATCTCGTTTTGCGCACCTTCGTCTTACCAGGCGGAGTAGCATGCACCAAAACCACCTCTACAACTTTCGGAGGCTGGCCAAACAGTGCCAAACACAATCTCGCCGCTGCATGTTAAAGGCGAGGTTGCCCGTAGCATCGAAGAATGCCTGCAAGATCGAATGTGTAAACGAGCACACTCTGAATAACCATATCCGAAACAATACGTCTGGGCCGTGCCCATTTCGTCACAAGCAACAACCACAGCTTATGCGCTGCACTCCCATACACGACAACATGCTGTTTTTCACCGGCAACACACACGACTCAGGATCCGCGCCGCGAAAACCTCCGCATGTGGCAAGTCATCAGAGTCCATAGGCTCCTTTGAGCCTCGTCCCATCGCTGCCAACCTCTCAGTTGAAGCTACGCAGCTACAAGTAGCTGGGGTCCACCGGGACCGCTTTGTCCGGATCCGGGCTTTTCACATACCGCTCAATATGTTGGGTGGTCACTGTCTCCTGGGGAATCCAATGCGGATGCTATGCATCCTCCGTCTCCGGAGCACTCAACACCTGAATGAGGTGGCCGCCTCCACTTCCAACCTCCTTATCTTTTTCTTGCCTCGCTGAGTGTTCTCGCCTGGGGTCTCAGCTTAGGGGAGTATGCACAACGCACGGCGTTCTCGCAATCCGTTTCCGTGGTGAAGCTACAACTGAACGAGATGTCTTGGCCAGGCTTGCAAGTCAAAGGATGTCGCTCGTTTGCCACAGCTCAGAATCACCTGAACGAGACGGTGGTGACAAAGTGGTTGTGAACAAATGCTTGGTTATGGGTTCATGGCTCTGGAATGCTATTACGAGCTGCACATCTTATGTCTTACGTAGTTGAACGGAACCAACAAGGTCCAGATTGCACTTGTCTATCCATGCAAGCCTGCTGCAAGTGTTGGGCTTGAGACGCCGATCTATCTCGAAGCCCCACATCGAGTGGCTGCGCGGATCCAGGCCTCGCCAACTGTCTTAGAAATGGCAGGAATGTGTCGGCCTGTGTGACCGTATAGCAGCCTGTCGCTATCCGAACAGCCTTGTTCTCTCTGACTGTGTGGACACGCTGCAGAACATGACTTTTGGAAGGCCATGCCAGAGTACCATCCAGGCACAGATATCGAGATTCCCAGCGCCGGGGCCTCAAAGTCTCAGGGACCGCAGGCTGCTGCACAGCACAGCAAAAGCACTGCAGGTTTGACGAATGGGGGTAACGAGTTTCATCTCTCAAGTTCGCAAGCTTTGGTTCTCCATCCGAGGGCGTGCCAACGAGTGGCTTCAGGAATGCCATTCCCAACACCAAGAGCGGGCCCCAGGAGATGTTGCAGTCTTGCTACGGTAGCTTATGGAGCTCTTCAGTAGCCCCTGATGTTTCGGCGAGTCGATGGGGGCACACTAGGTGGATGTAATCAGCAGCAGATGCTCGATGTTCCGATTGGAAGCAACATGCTGAAAGGAATCGTCAGCATTTCGGCAGTTGGCTTGATTGTGCCATGAACGAGTCGTCCCTTCTTATTTTCCAGGTACTCAGGCCGAATCTTACATCGCGACAGCCGTTCACGGAGTAAGAACTTTGCCGAGTGCACACGCGTTGCCTTCAGATCAGACAGCCATAGCACCACGGCCCCAATCATGCAGAAGTACTGTCATGAACGTATGTCCAGGCTTAGTCGGATTTCGCAGGCGGCAGTTGTGTCTTGTTGAAGGCGATACATGAAGCACAACCTCGTCGATCTGAAGGCTGTCTGCGAGGCACGATCGCACACCGTCCCATCTGAAATTAGCAGTGCTTCTCCCAAGATCAGACACCGAACTGCCTTGAGGAAGCCACGAAAGCAGTTGAAGTGCGGGCTTAAATGTTGCAGCCAGGCGTCGTACACAGGCGACTATGACAAGCTGGAGGCCAGGTTCCACTTCGAAGCCATCGTCTCAACATTAAAAAGATCCGTAAAGTTTTTCAGTTGGAATACAACGTAAGCTCCGCTGCAAAGCTGCGCGGTGCACCGCGTGCTGCACCACTAAAGCACAGTCCTCGGTCCAGAAGCCCGCCCAGGAGATGCTGGCAACCGGTGACGAGAAGACGCTTTTCAACGGCGACTTGAATGGCTTCGTCAACAACGTCTGAGCCCTTGTAGGCTGATTTATAGTCACTCAGGGTTTCCAGGTTTGCATGTCAGAGCGCGCTCCTGTCAAGCGGCCTTTGACTCAGATCACCGCAATGCAGATGGCGGCGATGGCCGGACAGACCGAGTGCGTGGCGCTCTTGCTAAAGGCGAAGGCCAGGTGCACCTCTAAGAGTCTAAGCGCTGGCGTGAGGCTGACATGACATGTTCTCTTGCAGACTTGCAGGCAGACCCCCACGTC